TATTTGGAAATAGCGTTCGAAGCTGATCTTATACATACATATGCAGCTCATCCATCCTTCGATAGTCTAAAGATAGGACGTTAAAAGTGAAGGCTGTTTGAGTATTTGCCTCCCATAAAAAGTGGAAGTTGTTTACAGAAAATCAAAGAAGAGAAAAAGATGCAAAACAATTAGCGAAGACAGAAGAAGCTCTTGAAAACCGAAAAGCTCCGCAACCAGTTTGGAACTTTTCGCTTGGCCGCATTTCGAATTGAATCGAATTTCGAGTTTTCGCTACAGGACCAGGCAATCTACAGCACGGCGGTAAAGAAGAAAAGCTTTTTCCTTCTTTGTGATTGTTTTGAAAACAAACATGCTCTGAAAGTGGCGAATATCAAGAAATAAACAAAAACATACAGTCATGAAAATGTTAAGTTTTGTTTCTTTCTCAAGTCAGAATGCACGTCAAAGACACCTATTTTTCGATGCGTCCTTTAAATTTTTACCCCCTTCTCGTAGTATCTGCTCCTGGCGACGTTGCTAGCTGGTTGTGCTCATAAATGCCCCCAAGCTTGAAATGGTTGCTTACTAATTCCAACAAAGCCCTTTGAACAAGAACGCACTTTTTGCAGCTTTGTGCTAGGCATTTTACCATAATCGAAGAAGTCAACCCCGCGACGTTGTCTACATTAACGGAAACGAAATCTATGAAATGCACAAAAAACGTTCGAAAGGGGCTAAAATGAAGAAAAAACAAGGGATTCTCGAGAATGCGCTTTTTGCCAGATTTCTCGTTCAAGTCAAAAAATGGAGTCTTGCGACATCGTCAGCGGGAAAGTAAAGATCAAAAGCTTTGATATGATATACATTCTGCTACGATTAAATTGAAACAACGAAGAAAAGGGTACACCAAAGCTAAATGCCCTGCGCCCCGCTTTTGGTGTAGCGAGGTAGTAGCGAGGTTGCGCGCAATGCACGGAGACGCAGACGAGCAGCGGAGAGAGACCAGAGCCCACGGGCATTCGGCACTGGTCGTAGAACTCCGCGGGATTCCGAAATCCTGTAACATTATATATCGTTGTGATTCTCATGTCACGACCAGGAGCGCTGACAATGTCGCGGATGTTGAAAATTACCGTATCACGAGATAAATCAGCATTTATGTGGTGACTCTCTGCGCAAGATTTAAGCGCAGTTTCTCGTTTTTATTGAGCTCCAGCAGATTTCGTGAACTTCCAACACTCAATCGTAGTCTATAAAAAGGCCAAATGAAAGTTGCCGTTCTAAAATTTAGGGTAATTTTCAAACAAAAACCTCCTTTTCAGCAGAAAAGGCTACAAAAACGCAATCTTTTTGTTTTGTGAGCTTTTTCTGAATATCACTCATTAAACTTGCTTCATCCACATTCACTCCTATGAAGTTATCTCATAACGGGGCTTCGCCCCGAATGACTTCTGTACTTTTCTCCAGGTGAGGGTTATGTTCTATCATGACTCTCAAAGTGAAGGTGACTAGAGTACATGTCTCTATGTATCGAAGGTATGGGACTCTCATCTCAAAACGCGAATCTAATGACCGCATGCATTAACATTCCCGCCGGGGATTGTCCCAACTTCAGAAAAAAGCTTTATATCCTGAAGATCCAGATATCCGGATTTTACACTGTCTACCTTTCCGTGATCATTTCCACCATCCTTCACCATGATCATATTGAACGGGAGCAAGAAGCTGTATAAGCCGCATTCTCCAGCTTTTTGTATGATCCCACGCGGAAAACGTCTTTTCTTCAAAGTCATTTTTCTTCCTTCGAAGCCAACGAAAACCTTCCAAAGTTGTACTGATTATCCAGCCCAACAATGCTAAGCACGTTGCTAATACGAACAAATGAGTTTTTGAAATATCGTTTTTTTTTTCGATAAATCCAAATTTTGACTTGTGGTTTATCGCAAATTTCATGACTTCGAAACATCACTTGTTTTTACCAGGAACATGATTAGTACTGTTGGGTGAGATAAACAGTACAACCTTGGAATGTTTTGAAAGATTATGAAAAAAGAAAAATGACTTTAAAGAAAAAACTTTGTTCGCGAGGGATTATCAAGGGATCATACAAAAAGCTGGAAAATGCGGCTTGTACACCTTCTTGCTCCTGTTCATGATATTCACAGTGAAGGGTAGTGGGAGTACCTTACGGATAGGTAGAGAATGTAAATCAGATATTAAAGAACAAATGAGTTTTGAAAAATCGAATTTTTCGATAATCCCCAACTTTCGATTTGTATTATTATTTACTAGCTGATGACCCGGTCTCGCCCGAGACTTTTAGTTCGACCAAGATGGGGTAGGGGGAACGACCGCCAGTTTAAAACATCTCCGCGGACTACTGGTCCTGCAACCACAAACAACAATATTTCAAAAGGACCAGTTGCCAGCAAAGGCAGACTCAAACTGGCGGAGTTGTCCCCCTACCCACCAAAATGTGATTGGCTCCCAGATTCCTGTATAGGAGGGTTGCGCACTTCCTTGATTTTCAGGGAAAACTTGTTAAACTTCCACGTTTTAGCACTGTATTTCGTACTTTCTCGTTGAGCTTTCCTTAAAACCAGTAAAGTCCGCAGCCCGCCTCCACACGAATTGGAATCTGATCATACTTACAGTTTCTAACTTCTACAATGCGCAAAAAACGCCTCGAGACGAACCCGCTGCATCCTGTCGACCTTGAGATCAGAAAGAACTTTACTACCCCTACTGACATGTTTATTGGAAAATGATTGGTTGGAGCACGTCTAACTTTCATTTCCCCAGATTTAAGTAAACAAATCAGTAAATCAATGGAAGGACCCTGCGAATCGCCTCAAAAAGTAGCCATAAACCACCGCCGGGGTCGAAAACATATGTGTGCGAAGTTTCAGCTCAATCGATTCAATGGCTGGCGTTTCTATAACGAACGAACAACTAAACGAACATCCTCACAGACATTGAGTTTTATTATATATATAGATATAAATCGCAGATGCCATGACTACAATACATCATTTGTTCCTAACAGCAACATGCTCAGCTTGAACTGGATAATAGGTACAACCTGTACAATCTTTGGAAGCTTTTTGTTAGCTTTGAAGGAAGAAAAATGAATTTGAAGCAAAGACGGTTGGCCGCCGGGGATCATCAGGGAATTATACAAAGAGCTGGAAAATGCAGTTTGAGCTTGTTGCTCGTGTTCAATACGTTTATAGTGAAGGATGATAAGACGCTTACGGATAGGTAGATAGACACGTGAAATCCAAAATTAAGCTTGAGAATAAGGTTTCTGTTAAGTTGCGTTCCTCTCCCCGGCGGGAATGTTAGTGCATGCGGCCCTCAGTTGACTGGCTTCCTTTGTCGGATCGTATGGTGTCCGTCTAGAGACGGACTAATTTTGGAATGCATTACTTCACATGAATTTATGGAAGTTTTTACATAATTCTTCCGCAAATAATATTCTATGCATACAGTCCGAATCCGTTCATATGTTCAGGCCTACCCTGTAAATAAACAAATTGTTTACTTTTGCCTTGTTCTCAAACCGCGCGCGCTTTTCCACTACACGATGGCGGTTAAATGTTTGATAGCTAGTGTCTAAAGTTGTGTTTAACTGAATGGTCGCTTATCTGGTGCAGAGGGGAAACTGGAGGGCTTATGGTAGTTAACGTGGTAACGGCTAACAGTCAGCGTCTGAGTGATACTTAACGACATTGAAGATCTGGCAATTATTGTCTTACGTATTACTGTACGATAAGGTGGTTATACTGTATGTTGCCAAAGTTATTCTGTGCGCCCTCGAATCGATTGCGTACAATGAGGGAACTATATGAGCATAAAATTTTAAGGCCCTGACTAGTCATCATCGTTTTGCTGATGACATCGTTATGAGAACAGCAGGCATCACTCAGGCAGAACGAATTTAACGTCGTGTGTAATATCGGTTTACTGCTGCATCTGAGATTTGAAATGCTGTAAATTTGATGCTCCTTTCATGATAATTGGAACGAGCATTGTCGAATGTTCAAGCTATATCTGCCTGCTTGGGGAATCAGACGTGGCGAGCGACCTATGTCGGGTTATTAAAGGCAGTGGCTCAGCAAATCTCAACATAGTCAAATTTTCGCTTACCTGGGGTTATTCAAAACGCTGATTTCGAAAAGGCACTTTTGAGAGCTTGAAAACACCGAAAACGAACGTTTTTCAATGCCCTTCCTTGGAATTGAACGAGTGCAGCAGGGGTGATGACGCCGAATCGTTGCAGAACAATGGTTATAGCATTGCGGCGGGCAACCTCCAATGGTGAAAAGGAAATTGCCAACTCGTCCAGATGCGTGTAAGAATGGCCTGCGCGCGTAAGTTTGAGAGCAATTTTCTCGGCATGGAAGGCTTGCTGTGCAACCGGGATTGCACCGTTTTCATACTTTGGCAATAAGGAGTCTACGCGTTAAAATTTTGAGTTGTTGAGTTTTGCCGAGCCACTGCCTTTGAGAACAGGCAGCAGGGAGGCCATATATGAGACTGAGGGCGTCATGAAGAAAATTGAAAACACATGCATCAAGTTTTCGCTTTCCAATGTTTCCTGCTTTTATGTACGCTCAATTATATGGACATGTGGAAGCAGGATGGATTGCGATAAGCGTCATCGAGCATGTCATTGAAGGAATGTTAGTCCAACTTATCCGTGTGGAAGAAGTTCCTCTCTACGCCCCAAATCAGAGACAGAACTTTGCCAAGATGTCAGATAGGCAATACAACTTGAGACAAATGTGCTCTGAGGCTGGCGAACAAAAGTTGTAACGTCTTAAACACAAAAATACAGCTTTCGCGGTAATCAGACTGCTCCCGAGGTTCTCTAGTAAAGTTCCTCAGAGCAAACAATTAAAAAACTTCCGCGACAGAGGCAAATGAAGGCATCACTGTTACTCGCTTGTGCAAAAGACGATCAGGCAAAACACATAAAACGGTCTGTCTTTTCAAAGGAATTATGTTTTACTCACATCTGTAAGAGCACATTCTCCATTTGGAAAACTTTCTGACCAGTCATAATCATCGGAAAGGAACTCCTCTGGAGCGCTTGCACCGTGTTGAAATATCTAAATTAAGTTTTCATTGAGAACATTGCAGGCACGAATGTCTATATCTATCTATATATAAATAAGACTCAATTTTCGTAAATTTGTTCGTATGTAAGTATGTGGCTTATAGACTCTTTTGTTTGTGAGCCGATTGGGCTGAAATTCGCTCCCTTACAAATGAGGCTAGGCGCAGAAGATGGGCTACTTTTCGCGACGATTCACTGAGCCCTTCAATCGATTTATTGATTTGTTTACTCACATGTAAGGGAATAAACTTATCAATCATTCCTGGATCATAGTTGGGTAAGCGGGCGGTAAAGATCATTTGCATTTTGCGGCGAGGAGGATCCTGTTTTTCTAGTCAGCGGGATATGTCGCGGAATTCTTCAGATATGGATAAGGAAGGTAAGTCTTGACGCTTTTGAATTCTAATGCCTTATACCGGGCATTAGAGCCCGCTTCCCGGGCAGGACCCGGAATGTCATCTAGTATCAAATACGCACCACAGTCACTGCTTTCAAGGTCACATTAGTTGGAGTGAAAGTCTGAGTGAGCAGTACCGGAGACACAGGTTTGAACAACACCAAAATGACGAATGCGACAAGAACCTGAAAAGTTTACTTGCCATAGCGCAGTTTACAAACGTTGTAGGCGCCGATATGCTCAACTGCACAGCTCATTGTAAGAGCTGTACTATAAGTATCGAAATACATGATGCCTGGCAGGTGGTCGTAGCAGAGCTTATTTATGACATAACCTCCCAAGTATGGTGAAAGAACACGAACCAACACCACGAAAATGACTGCTGAGACGATAGTGTACTTTATTCCTGCATCATTGCACATGGCTAGCAACCAGAACGAAGTTGAAATTGAAATGCAGCTCCACGTGCATCGCCTGCTTATATAACTACCAACAATTGATAAGCTGCTAGGAAAACCCACTCATCGTAGAATTATGCTGCTCAGAAAGGAATGTGAAGCGGCTGTCAAGAGGTGGGGCATGGGAGAACATCATTTATCGTCGAGTCATTCCTAACTTAATATGCGTAATGCACAATATACACGTTAAATGACGAACTGCAAAAGTAGAACCTGCTCATTTCCGGTGATGTCTCCTTTTTTCCTTGTCTCTTTTGTTGTTGTTGGTTATATGTTAGTTGATAGAACACATTTCTACACTTTGTTAGGCTAGAAAATGTTGCACTGGTAAGTCACTAGTAATGGTGCCGTTTCGAATTGGCTTAGGGTGCAATCTCACATATTAAGTTACAAATGGCTCGAGGTTACATTGTTCAGAACACTTCTAGGTTTCCTCGTGATTTTTTTGACAAACAAAGCAATACTTCAGAATTAAATAAAAATTTTCTATTACGCGAAGTAGAGCTCACAAAATCCTATGACACTATATAATTAAGCCTTAAAAACTAACTTCTAGACTTTCACACTATGGATTAAATTGAGTTTTCGTTCGTTGTTGGACAGCATAGCCTGGGATTGTTTGAATAAAATAATCTTTTGAACTGTGTTGCTCAACACTGGCATGCAAAACCGTTTGAGTTTTTGTGATTTAACAGGAAACCACCCTTTTAACTCACAAAAACTCAAATCAATCAATCACAAAAACATCCTAGTAGCTCAGTTCGGCCTTTCCAGCGTGACGCATATCATGCTTACCATATCAGAAGAATCTGACTGACAGAGATGTCCTTCCATTCAGGTTTGAGTCTGACAGAACTAACTCGCTTTACAGTAATGCTTTGCAGTAAAGAACGGTGTAATTGAGAACAAGGTTTCAAGCTGACTCCAAATTTTTATTAAGGTTCATGATTTTTTACCGTTTACTACGAAAGTTGTCTTTTTGTATCTTTTTTTCGATTGATGTTTTTGAACAATACATTTGACAGAGTAAAGCAAGCTTTACAAGATGGCTAGTACGCTCAAATCGTATTCCACCTGGCGTTTTGAGCTGAAATCTGATAGCAGTCGAAAACAAAGGTTACCATCAAAGATCGTATCTCGGCCCCAAAAAAATCTTAAAATTTCCTCATTTATCCTAGCATACTTGACACATCGAACATTCTATTGTATGTTTTTCGTACCTTTTCCATGGTTAGAAATAAGGAAAGAAATTTAAAAAAGTAAAGTGGTAAACTCCGCCCTTAGACGTTTTGAGCTTCTCTCACGCATGTGATCATATAGCTCATTGTCAGACATACAGAAGTACGATCATATATTTGCACCCTTTGTAAGTGCCGCAGTTTTCGAAAAATGCTGATATTTAAGGCATAACGGTAAAAAATTTTGAGACACCCTAATATGTCATTTTTCAAAAGGTTAGAGCAAGTCAGGTGCATTACCTTTCATTTAAGGAGATTGATACATGACATCCTAAATGTTTATGGAAGTACCTGTCTTAAATGCTAATTTTGAAATCTATCTTCGCTAGTAAAGCGATTTCTTAAGTTATAAACATCTTCAATGAAATGCGTGTGTGTAGATAGTCAAAATCTTCGATGCTAACCAAACTACCCGCTTCATGCCACGGAGCAACATCAGGGACCATACACCATTGCATTTAGACTAATTCGTTCAATTCGATATACAAATAATAAGAAAACCTTCCAACGTTTATCCTTACCCCTTACTACACAACAAATTCTTCATCAAAAATGTCCATGACTAATTTTTTTCGGAGCTCTAGCGATCACATTATGAAGTTGTTTTGCTCCATCGAATAAATACCTTAAATTTTCTTGGGTCGACGTTACGGTCGAATAAGTAGCGCCACTCTTTTCAAAACCTGATATTTATTGGTTTGGCAGGGTAGTTTGGTCAATGTCAGTTACACATATGAGCCTAAACTCACGTGTCTGTCTTCACCGAGAAGTGAAAGCTGTGCTTTTCAGTGATGTTTCGTTTATTTTGAATGCTACTGAAGAAAAAATAGCTTTACTCCAGGCATTTAGATTTTTGTCAGAACAGGCTTTGGACGCTAGACATGAGTATGTATGTGTGCATCAGCTATTTGTACAAGTTTATTGTTGATCCAGAATGTGAAAACAGAGAATTGGGAAAACAACAAGACATAAGAAGAAACTCACATTTTTGCCTTTTTTATGGCTTGGCACCGTAATCTAACCTATGAATTGAGCAGGACTTTTGGAGTTGCTTTTGGATATGAGCGTATTCTAGAGCGTATTCTATATCACATTTTTTTGCGGACTAAAGTCCTGTTACAACAACAGGTAACCTTTGATTCAAATGGATTGGCTGCTGGAAGGTGGGGTTTTGTGAACTAATTAATGCCGCGACGCAATCGGCGTCTCTCTCACGCTCGTGCTCTCTGATCATTCTTTAGCCTTAACTAGGTAGCAGAGGCTACCCTTTGATTCAACTGGGTTGGCGGCTGGAAGGTAGGGCTTTGTGAAATGCTTACTGTAGCTTAAGAGGCATAAAGACATTCCAAATTTATGAGAATAAATTCTCAACCCGTGGTGCGGTTTCCAGAATTCTTAGCTATGATGTAAAAGCGACCTGCAGCTTTCCCCTGTAGTATCTTTGCGAAAGACATCTGCTTTCCACAGTGCTGAATTTCTTGATTAATTTGCGATTAAAAGGGATTCAAAATGTAGTCCGAAGTACGGGGAATCTATTTTTCCATAGCAGTATATCAGAGGAAGTGTTCAGAGGTATTACCAAAACATTTTTTGTTGAGTCAAAATTCATTCAGAAATAATAATCAAATTTAATAATATATTACATTTGTGTAATTTTTGGGTTTTCCATTGTACCAGTTTCATGAAGAGGCCCTGCAAAGACAAGTTCCAGAAGAATCTCCTCATACTTCCACCTACCCCTCATCGTCCGACTGGTTGCCATTGCTTTCTTGAACAACAAGATTTTCTCCATTGGATTCCAGAGGCGAGGCGGTACGTGGCCTTTTCAGCTTCATGTCCAATTCGGTGGCCTCAACCATCGTCGCCCTTCTTCGCTAAACATCTGTCTTATCAGGCTGATGCAAAAAAACAGCGTACGAGCAAATCACCTCTTTGGCTAGAAGGCGAGCCACTTCTTGTCGACTGTATCCCATTTCCAGCAAATTAAACGTGTGCGCAATTAATTTGAGGTTCTCAGGAACTGACAAAGAAATGAGATTTGCAAATTGTGTCAGAGCCTGTAATACTGTACTGTTAGAGTAGGTATCTGTCGTGATGAATAAAATTTATCGAAGTACCTGGTTAAGTGTGAGACCAGGATTGTGTGGTCTTATGATTTCCTTGTATTGGTCGAAGAGATCAGCTATCTAAAAGTGATTTATGAACCTACCAGCGTTGATCATTTATACAGTTCCTTCCAAATATGAGCTACCGTACCTGCTTGACTTCTTCGAATGAAAATCCGAGTTGCATCAGATCAAGTGATCTCTCAGCTGGAAGCTTCAGCTCTTCCTCGGAGACGCTGTTAGGTCGAAGTACTGGAGCAAGCTCGGCTGTAGACGATGATGGTGTTCGTGGAGTCTGAAAGATTCATTAGCATTGTAAATAGGACTCTATTTAGCTAGTCACTGAAAATCGCACCTCGGTTGTGGTCACTTGCACTAAACTCTGCAGTGTTGGGGTTGATAGATAATTCTAAAAATTCTGATATCATAAAGTAACGAGTAAGGTTTTCTCAATGCCCTGATAACTTTCTCCCTTCCTGGCTTTCAACGCTTTGGAAATATCATATACAAAGAATCAAATGCGCATTGTCGCATAAAGCAGATTTTGTTTTTCTTCTTGCTGCTTATAAGATTTCATTGCAAGGGAGTCTTTTAGTCGAAGTGGCCTTTCCAGGAGCCCTACACATTCAAAGTCCTGCTTTGAAAGGTATTGGATGCTGATTCCAAATACGTTTTCCTTTTCTGCGGTACAGATTTCCAGAAGAAGTTATGCGTTAAGTCCAAATTTGTTAAGTTTTAAGTGGCATACCAGCAAAAATCTGTAGAAAAACTCCTATGCGTATTTCTGGCTGCGCTCCTTCTTTGTAGTTAATATGCTTAATACAAAAATGATAGACAACTTCGGGTGTTTTTCACAAGTTATTTTATGCAATTTAGAGCTTAACGAACTTAGACTCCAGAGTTGTTCAGCAGAAAAGGAAAGCAAGTTCGAAATCAGCGCTCAATGCTCTTTGAAGTGATATAGGGATATTTGGAAAAGCCACTTTGAGAAAGAGGCTTCCTTTGTTAGCATGGCCATAGATTGAAGTTCGAGAAACCCCTCAAGGAATTTGACAAATCAAAGAAAACGTTCTGCTCAAACCTCGAAATGAGCTCTGATGAATGGTAGCAAAAAGCGCTTAGTTTGGAACAAACCCAATGATCAAAGAGTTATGCGACTTGCTTCAATGTAAAAGCAAGTTAAAGGTGACTTCCTGATATTCGTACGAAACATTCCGTGAAAAACAGCGAATCAGAAAACGCAACGAGCACTCTGCTTTTCTAACGCTTACAATTTTTGCTAACAAATCCGTCCAGGCAAGCTTTGGGGAGGGGCATGACCCTGAAGTGGTGGTCCAAAGATGCTGACAAGGGAATGTTTACGGAAGTAGCCAATCCAAGCAAGGTGCTTACTCGATGCAGCATTCATCGCTGATTTCGAATCTATATTCCAAATTTGCTTAGGCTCTTTGTGGACAAACTTATGAGCAGTTTGTTTGCAAAAAATCATACATAAAATTTGCTTTCAAGTCACCTTTAGGCTCTGATTGTAAGAGTATAAGATAAGCTAACTTTATCTTTTGGCCCAGTACTAATCCGAACATGGCTCCGTATTGCCGAATTTGCGCTTCAGATGCAAGATTTCTTAGCAAGATAGCGTCCTTCAAAGGCTCATAACTTCGCCCACATAGGCGCTAAGCAGATATGTATCATTCATTCTGTGACTAGGAGACGCGGGACCGCATTGCGCACACTATCTAAACAAGCCTGGTTGTGTAATTAGCAGGTTTATACTTGTTATTTATCTCTTCCATGTTTATTCACTCTTTAGAAACAGGGGAGAACAAACTCAAACGTGTTAGGAGATTGTCCGCAATGCGGTCTCGCGTCTCTTAGTCGTAGAATAGATGATAATACGGTTCGAAGTCAGCGTTTTATGCTGCATCTAATGGTTGTTGCTTGTTTGGATGGGCCACTTTGATTTTTGACCAATCCTTTGTGAGTTCAAAAATGGAGATTTAGAGCAGTCGAAACTTCACCTACACAATGAAAAGCGGACTTTCGGCAAAAGTACGTATTTATTTATTTAGTCAAATTTTTTAGTTTTTTTTTGAATTTTATGCACCGATAGCGCAAAGAGCGGAAGTGATTTTGTCATTGAAGACTCGTCTAATCCTCACAAATTTTTTGTCAAGTTCTTCACTGCTGCAATTGAACTGAGCGAATTGTTGCCACTGTGGTGTGATCAAACATGGAGTTCCTTCGGTGGGTGTATTGGAGTCTTGATAGGTTCGATAAGAGGTCAATGTAGGTGGTTCGAACTTCTGCAAAATTATCTAATAGTATTATCGAATTGCCACAAAAAAGTATTTGTATGACCTCTTTGTTTTGTTTAAGCCTGTTTTTCAGTGAAGCTCTTTGAATATCTGCTGCTCTGCATATCCTATCAAAGAAGATCTCCTTTTGTGGTCCAAGCAATTTTCCCAGACTGGAATTTGTTCCATTTTTTACATGGGTCAAAATATCGGACATCTGCATACTTGTGAATTTTTCTCAGTTGCTCGAATGTAATCGCTGTCTTAGCATTTACACTTGACTCTTTCTGTTGTCGTATGTCTCGTTCCAAAATTTGTATCTCCCGTTCGTAATCAAAACTCTGAAACGTAAATAATTATTTGAATTTCGCCATTTTGAAGAAACGCACAAGAAGTGGATGTGCGTTGATTGTTGCATCATCTCCCCTGAAAAGATATTTTTGGTATTTTATCGCAACAAAATGAAGTGAAACTCACGTGAGAAGTTCACTTTTGACTGCGGGTGAACTGCGATTCTCATCCATTTCAACTGCTTCTTTGAACTGAAACATCTTTAGCGATTTTGCATATCATGTTATTCAAGAACAAAATCTATCAAAAGGGAATGCTCTGACAGATAAGATATAGTACACAGCCAATGATCACGAGACTGATTTTTCCGCAGGAAACGAGAGAACATGACTTTCTTATATTACGATAGATCAGAAGAGAATGAAAATAACTGTTCCGTAAGCATTTTCAAACTTTGTAGATCCAGCCGCATTCTCGCTTGTTTCCTACATATTTAGCAGTTTCCTACTATTCTGTAGGTGTAAAGGAGTCTGTATGAGAATAGAGCTTGCTTGTTTGGCCTAACCGTAATATAAAAAAATTTTAGTGATTAGGGAATATAATTGCGAGTTGAAGAGTGGAGTACTCCGACTGGCGATGTAGCACAAAGGCTTATCATGATGATGCGCTATGATAAGGAGCACCTCCCAAGCGTTTCAATGTACGACGAAGATAAGATGTGTCGTAGCCATCTTTCTGCAAAATATGTTCGTATTTGTTGAAAAATGCAGTTTTGAAAAAATATAGCTAGTTCGACATATCCGTCGCTAAAATTACGCATTCCAAATCGGATCGCTCATTTTTGTCGAAAGAGAGTAGTGCAGAAACCAGATTTTTTGGTCCGAAGAAGGATTATCAAAATAGATCTCTGCTGCTATTGTATCTTTCTATAATAATAGGCCGGATAAATGCCTTCTGCTTGCTCATAGAATAGCGTCGCTGTATCTTTTTATTGTCAAAAGCCGAATACAGAAATTGCTAGGCAGATTTTGCCCTTTCGAAGAGGAGCGAAATAGATGATTCGATGAGGCTTAGAAAGAGCTGACACTCGAGAACAGCGTCTATATCAACTGTAATGATTGCCAAGCACGAGATAACATGCTATCTTTGCATGAAGCATCGACATGCTCGGTCGACTGTTTTATCGTAATCGAATCGATTTCGCCCTTCTAAGGTTTTGTCCGGAAGGTGTCGAAAGAGTAGTGATGTGGCTATGCGGGTACAAATTTTGGGCTCCTTTTTTTAGGCACCCTAGCCATTTGCAGCTTATAGAATAGTCAGAACATCTAAAGAAAGTTGAATTTTGCAATGCAATAAAAAATATTCTTCAGCAAAACCAGGGATGATAGATTGACTCTAAGTTATGCAACAAAAATTATGAAATATGTTGGAAATTTTTGGGACCACTGGCCAATCTGTGAAACGTACTTTCCAGCGTACTGGATATATGTAGTATTCTGTAATACATATCAGAGTTTTGATTTGAATAAAAATGCGTCAAGCAATGATTTGAATTGTACTTTTTACTAATATTAAAGACGATAAGCACAAATGTTTCTGAATCAAGGAATAAGCTCAAACCAAAACCAAGACCAAATCAAACCAAACCAATTCCTCTGTCAGCATACGTCATAAGGATTTGCTAAGGTGCATTTTTGGAGATTTTGTTCCATCGATCTTACCGAAACCAATATCTAGTGTTGAAATTACAGTGAAGTCTTTATGACATCACGAGCTAATACAACTGCTGAATATTTCTTCTGTTTTTACTGTTTCCTTCTAAAAGTCGATGTGCCTCATCGAAAAATTCCTCTGGAATGCTAACGGCTTTTTCGACAATCTATTGATGCATCGGCTATAATCATACAGTGCCTTATCAAGAGAACACGTCTTGTAGATAGTCACTCGCATTGTTGAATGCGATAAATTCGTTGACGCAACATCATACGTGGTGATTTCTCGAAAGAACAATTTCGACACACCCAACCATATAAACAACTTCGCAAAAAATGTGGAAGGCTAACTTGTTTCTTGAAAACTACAATAAGAGCGATTTCAAGATAAATCCAACTCTTGTTTGTAAGTTCACCTACTTTTGTCGATTATGAGACCAAAATTCGCAAAAACGACACACTGTCTAAAGAACTCCCAAATTCATAAAAACTCCAAGATGAGTTATTGTATGTGGATGACCTGTTAATCAAATATGTGCACCGCCTTCGACTACCCTAGTCAGGAATGTGTGGCACTCATGCCGAATACAATACATTTGCTCCTTTGACCCAATTTTTGGACAACCTTTTTTTGCACCGGTACCAAGTTACACTGCAAAAAGCTTTTTTGAATATCCAGAAAGAAGGATTGGAGTAGCTCAGTAGTAAAAGTCAAAGCATTCTTTCATTGGTTAGTTTTCTGGCCATCTCACATATACTATTGCTCTCTGCCGCTACGAGGCAGGATCGGCTGATACTCGGTACAAATTCCTCATTTCTCTATAGTGCGAAAATACGAAAATTTACGAATTCGCTATTTTACACGAATACTTCAATTTATGACCAGTCTGCTTTGTCTGCTTATTTTGATTTAGTATTCTAAGCAACGGATCAATCAGTATGTTCTGAACAGAGTGGATTATTAACACACTTATAGATTTTGCATGCCAAATTTGGTTTAGATATCAGAAGTCCTTCTATCCTTTTTAATCGAACATAAAGATTACTATCTGTTAGAGCGTTAAGTAAGTTTTGCAACTACTTCTCCAACTTTTTTTCTCTATTACATAACGTACTGAAATTTTGCCGTTATGTAGGCTATGATGTAAGCTACAAGCGCAGCCATACTTCTGACGTCGGAGTGAGGGTTATGTTACGTATATGGTATAATCGGGAAAAACTATTGAAAAACTCATTAAAAGGGTGGCTGAAACTTGGTGTAGGGGGCATGCCGATCACGAAAACTGTACTGAATTTGCTTGGTAGAGAATTTTTTATGAGATTTCTGTAGGTTTACTATGAGATCTCACCCTCACGAAGAAAAGAGGCTTTAATTCAACAAGTGAATATGATAGCCGTGTTTGTCAGCTCGAATAACCCCACCATGCAAAGCTTCGGCAAATTTTCAAATTCCGACATTTCAGACATTGACGCTTGTCCCTCGCCTTGCTTACAGCAGTCTTTCAACTTTGTGAGGGCGCCAAATCTCGAGCTGTCTTGAAATTCCAGTTCATTTGTATTGCTAAAGAATCAACCTCTAGCAAGAATTCATGTATAATCTCGGATCGTTATGCATGATCCAGATTGAGAACAGCTTCATTTTTACTCTTATGTTCTATTCAGTCATCATGCAACGAGCGATTTGTGCCAGTTGGTAGCTCACTCGGCAATCTATGCAATATCAAAAGTGAGCGCGCCATTATCAAAAAGTGGAAAGTGCGGACTCAGTCACAAAACTTAGTTTGACCTAATGTCACCTCCACAAGTGTTATAAGCGAATATTGCGAAGCCCTGAATCTCATTTATTCCGAAGCAATTGATGATTCTTTCTCACCAACAAAACCCAAGATGCTCTCCTTTCCGGGGACTCTTGTTTGATCGTCTATCTCAATCAAGGAATTTTTTTGTGGGAATAACAGAGCCATACCCCTTCGCTTGAAGTCTGCAGCAAAGCGTACGCTCTGTCTCACTGAAGAGCCCAACTCAAATTGTAAAGATGGAATAACGAATCAGGATTAGAGGAAAGAAGATGATCTGCCCGCGATATGATCTGATATGCTTCTTTTACTTGTATTGCATTTTTTCGTGTCGTTTTGTATTTTGTTACATGCCTTGTGTCTGGTTCGCCGCAGGACCAGGCGCCATTTTGGCGGGCCAAAGTGCAAGACGTTGCATCATTTTCGTTGTTCACTTGAATCTCGTGTGGCGGCACCTCGTCTTTAGCCGGTTATTGGTCTTTCTTGTGGTCTTTTTGTGTGTGTGCGTTTTTTTGATAAACCTCTTATTCTTTCTCGGTGTGCGTCGTCCGCATGAAAGGGACCAAAACAATCCTTGTCTGTCTTTTTTTACATGGGGGCCGAACCAGGCTTTTGTGAGGAAGGAGCAACTTGGCCACTTGGATGGAGACGACATGCCGACAAACTCGATTATCTTGCACTGCCAAAGGCGTTTGAGTGGGTGCGCACAGAGGTTGCCGTGGAAGATTCCGTCAAGCTCGTTGTCTACAATCATCTCGACGACATGGCCGACCAGCTCATTAAGATACCCATCAGCGCTGCGATGCTGTGGGTTTGGCCGGAGAGAATGCCCAGAACGGACCAGATGAGGCGCAGCATGCAGGCCGTCGAGAGGCATCTGCAGTGCGGAGGGACCCTAGATTGCTTCCCGCCGCCATTCGAGAGAGCCCGCAAGGACGAGTGGGATGAACTAGCAAGGTGTGCGTTGAAGTCGTCAGGATGCTGACGGGACCTGCGCGAGAATTTGACGCCAAAGTCATCGACCATTACGAACCGCTCGAAGACGCTATTCCACGATTGCACCCAGCAACTTGCCTCGGAGTCAGCCCGCGTAAGGGTGAAGACAAACTCTACGGATGGCAGACGCTTATCTTTCTGGAGCAACTCCGTGAAGCCGCATTAAATCGTTACGCTTACCTGTGTTCAAGCTGGCGATCGAAAGAAGAGAGACAAGAACGCCAGAGATGACGAAGGACCCGACCCGAAAAGAAGAAAAGCGATGCAGAAACCCGATTTGATGTATATCCGATGATGAAGCGCCATGAGCAAGCACCACACATGAAGCAAGGAGGACAGTATTACCATCATCGAAGAGTCGGAGGCAACTTTCCGTCGACGAGCGGCGTGTAAAGATGGAATAACAAATCAGAATTAGAGGAAAGAAGATGATCTGCCCACGTATGATCTGATATGCTTCTTTTACTTGTTTTGCATTGTTTCGTGTCGTTTTGTTACATGCCTTGTGTCTGGTTCGCCGCGGGACCACCCGCCATTTTGGCGGGCCGAAGTGCAAGAGGTTGCATCACTTTCGTTGTTCACTCGTGTGGCGGCACCTCGTTTTTAGCTGGTTATTGATCTTTCCTGTGGTCTTTTTGTGTTTTTTTTTTGATAAACCTCTTATTCTTTCTCGGTGTGCGTCGTCCGCATAAGGGGAAGGGACCAAACCAATCCCTGTCTGTCTTTTTTTCTACAAAATGGCTCGAGTCTCGCGCG